TCCGTGATCTTCCCAGGCGCAGGGGGGAGGGCAGGAGATCACGGCTGCCAGAAGTACGTAGAGCTGTTGTTATCACCTCCATATTTTGGTGGGAGGAGAGGAGAAGGGTCAGCAGTCAGGTTTAACTCCCCTGGGCAAGAACCAAACATATTGCAACGAGTTTCATCTCTCTGACAGCTTTTGATGGTGATGTTGCTCTCAAGTTTTATCTGTACCACTATGTTTTAGATTGTGATGCTTCCTGTAGCATACTTGGGTTGCTATAAAAACATTGATTTGATAAGTGGTTACTATGGCATGAGAGGGAGGCAGCTGGAGGGACTAAGCTGTCTTCATGAAGACAAAAAAAAAAAAAATGACCTCTTCCATTCTGGTTTTTGAGCAAACTTTCTAGAAAATTCCTTGGGGTACAGCACAGAGCATGTTTTGCCATGCTGCATTGAGGAAGGTGTACTTTTAGGAATGCAGTTTCAAATATAGGACTGAGGATGTGAACTGTCTTCACTTGTGCCAGACTCTGAATTTGGAATCAAAAAGCAGGACTTAATAAGCTGGTATGCAAATGTGGCCATCTCATCTCTGGACCCAAGCTGTTAAGCCTTTGCCAGGCAGTGATGCACCACATCAACTTACCAGGCCACCTCTCTCTTATCGTGGGGCTCTGCATCTTGCTCTGTGTTGTGCTCCAGCTCCTTGGAAGGGGGGGGAAGTCTTGATTTGCTGGCTGAATGTTAAATGAAGAACCTATTCCAGCTGGTCGTAGGACAACCAGCTTTTGGGTGTAAGAAAGGACTTCGGCACTTGTGTGAACTGGAGGTGTGTTTCCATTGAAATGCAAAATAGCTGCTGTTGTATCTCCCAGGCCCTGAGAGGCCAGGGGTCTTTACCAGCTTCACAGGTAGGGAGGCTGAGGCTAGGGTGACGCGTTGTGAATCTGAACACTTTCTTCAGTTCTGGTGCCTTGGTTGGCAGCATACCAAGGTAAGGAATGAAGATTTTTTGGAGGAGCCTTTATAATAATGTCAGGGTTCTCCCCTCAACTCAGGGAATGGAAAACTTTAGCATGCCAAAGGGCAAGTCAGCACATAAGGGTGTTACAACAGGTTAAGGTCTTTATACAGAAGTACTTGTTTAAGATCATAGCAGTAGTTGCTTGAAAGATGTTGCTTCTGACACTTTTCGAGTACTTCACAGCTAAGGTGGGCTCTTTGAATAACCATGGCATCTGTGACACGGGATGCGAACAAAGCAGCTGAGTCCTTTGCTGAGCAGTGCCATTAGCAAAATTTCCAATCACTTTGCTGCAGATGGCATTTGCTTGAGAAAGGTCACCTTTTTATTGTATTTCCGCTATTACTGGTGTTCACCTTACTGGCCATGATTGCCACAGAGAAGCGCCATGTTCCAGGTGATTAGTGAATTGCATATTTAATAACTATTTGTAACTTGCTGTTACTTCCGACCTTTATCAGTGACTACTGAGATAAATTCTGAATCAGACTGATGAGTCACCTTCTGTGGGTGAAGTGAAGTTAAACAACCAGAGATAAGCTGGCTCACCAGGGAGTTCAGTAAGCCCACCAGCAAATGCAGTAGTCATCTCTTGTCTCCCAGAAGCTATCTCCATAGTAGGTGTAATTCTAAAAATATAGAAATCAAAAGGAAAAAAAAAAGGTGGTTTTTTTTTTTCTTTAATCAGTGATTTGGGAACAATAACAATGTCTATTAGAGCTCATTTATCAGAAAAACAAGAGTCCTAACCATATCCCTCTTGTGTGTATTTATATTCTGAAATATTGAAACTTTCTGTAGTCCCTTTAGCCAGCTGCTTTCTGCAGTAATACCTTTTGTCCACCAGTATTATTCAGCCTCCAGAGTAAATGGGAATGATGCAGAGCACAGTTTCAGCTTGTTTGTTATCTGTATACAGGGATTCTCATTTATAGGGACAGGACTTCAACCTTTTGATCTTGCAGCAGCATCATCAAAGTAATTTAACAGCTAGTCCAGCTTTTCTTCACACTTCAGACGTCTTCAACTTGCCTGTTCTTTGACACTGGTCCTCCAAACTGCATGCTGTTTTCCATTGGTCTCTGTTATAATTATCACTCTCTTCTTGTATTTTGATTTCCACTTTTTTTTTTTTGTCCTGTCTCATCAGTCTCTTATTTTTCTGGATTTCTACACTACCCTGTCTGTTACTCTGTAAATTCTTCTTGGTCAGTGGTAATGAGGTCAGTGTCACCTGTGAACATAAAGCTGTTTGCCATCATGCTACATAGCATCATTTGTCCCTTTCGGATCTGTTTGAAATTCATTATTGCTTCCAGTATTGAACAGTTCTGAAAAAAGCGTATATCCTTGCCTAGCCCTTTGTCGACCAGAGCCACACTGCGTCTTTCTTGTGTATTTCATGGCATTCATTAATTTCTCTGGATGTTTTCTTCTGGATCATCAGATTCTTGCCAGCATCTGGCGTTCTCCAAAATTGTCATTTCACTGTATGCCAAGAACGTAAGATCAAAAGAGCTAAAGACAGTTGCAAAAGCAGGACAAAACCTCTAGGTTAGTGATGAAAGACATAAAGCTTCAGTGACTGTTTAGCATTAAATGCTAAATGAAATGTTGTTGGATGAAATGCGACGTTGGAAACCTGCACGTAATAGCCTAATCCTAGTTCTAGACATTCAGCTCTTTCTTGGTTACAGCCTAACTGGGTGGACGTTCCTAACTTGTTACTGTATGAAATGCCCAGAACAGATGCCAAGATCTCTCTTGTGCATTTGGGCTTCACCCTGTACAAAATGCTTCAGCATCTGTCAGTATCACACATTGCCTTAGAGCCAGCTATCCAGCTATAACCTTGCTTCGAAGAGGTGGCTGACATCAGGCTCCAGTCACCTTACATGATGGTGGGCAGCTATCCAGACCTCTTCGCCTAGGTAGTACCACCTGGAGAAGCACAATGCCAGAAGTTGCCAAAAAGACCTGAGCTAGCATTAATTGCAAAACCAGCTAGCTGGAGGTGGGGGATGCATGGCTTGGCCCCTTACCTTTGAAAAAGGGCTTGTTCTCAATGTGCAGTATTGAACGCAGAAGATCTGCTAAGAGCGATCCTTTTGTGAGTTTAAAGTTTTTGTGCCATTAACAGCAGTTATCTCTTTAAAGTGTTGCTTACAGTGATAAAATAATCTCAAAGGGCAGACTTCCTACCATTTAAAAATAAAATTATTCTGCTGCAAAAGGTGCTGCTTTTTTTTTTTTAATTAAAATTTTTAGCAGGGACTGCCATCTTCTAGAATAGAAGCTTTGGGTTTATGATTATTTTTTTTTTTCAACTTGCTTGTGTCACTTTCCCAGTGTTCAGGAACTGCGCTTTGTAGGCTGTCTTACCAGATACCTTAGCATGCTTCTACAGTTGCTTCTCCCGAACTTACTAAGCTCTGACCACAGAATGCTTTTCTCATTATTTGAACAACATATTTTGAGTACTTTTTGAGTATTAATATTTGGTTTTAAGCGTTGAAATTATAGCTTAAGGAAAAAAAAAACCCTGAATCTAGGTGTCTTGTCCTAAGTAACAAAATAAGTGCTCTTATTTTTCAAGTGTTCTGATTATCAGTTTAGAAGTCTATAGTATATGTAGTATAGTGTTTTCCATCATGCTGCATAGGGACAGGACTTCAGCCTTTTGATCTTGATAACTTCCGATTCTTCAGCTGAATGTAAGATATCAGTAATAGGTATTTGTGATGTAGCTCAGATGAGTACATCTCACTAGATAGAGCAGAATCCACTACCTTAGCAATTTCTTAAGTGGGAAAGAGCAGGCCTTGAAAAGACTTAAGACACAATAAAAATCCCAACAAAGTAAAACAGTGCCTCCCTGAATGGCTCCGTGAGTGTACACCTCTGATTTGTCAGGAAAGTTTAGCCTTCTGGGAGCAGGAAGGAAGAAGAGAAATGCCACCTTTATGAAGACTGTTAGGGGATTTGGGACTGTTCCAGGGGAAGACACTTTGCCTTTTAAATTTTCACTTCTTTGCCTGCTCAGGATGAGTAAAAGCAACAATAACGTCACCCTCCCACATTTCCCTTTGTGGTTGCTTCAAACCATCTCTCTCGCAGACCTAAAAGCGTTGTTTCAACTGGAGGTTTGGTGACAGTACTGAGCTTTTGTGAAAGGAGCAGGACTGGACTGCTGTATTAAACCAGTCAGCATGACCTGGTTTCTGTCAATGGAGAAGTGCCTCTTTTGAAGGCTTGAGTTTTTAAGACAAGTTTGAGATTAATATAGAATCCCTAAAATGAAATTGCATAATAAGATGAATGTCTCAACCTATCAAAGCAGAAAGTAAGCAGAGTTCCAGGACAGCAGAACCCTGTCCCCAGTGAGTAGGGCTTTTTGTTTCTTTAACTCCGAGACTGTTTTTTTGCTTCATAGCTCATGGAAGTTATTTGTTCTCTCACAGCTCTAGAGCCAGCTCAAAACTACAGGAAAAATTTTGCAAAGAGCCGCAGGATATCAAGTGATATTCTTGACTGCACTCACTTGCTTGTCTGCTTTCAGCCAATATTTTCTGAGACATAATGTTTAAAAAGTCTCAGATCAAGTACAGTGCTGTAAGAAAGATGTATAAAGGCACACATTAAAAATGTAAGCGTTAAACGTGCAAATACATAACCATTTTCAGACAATATATGCACCACCAAACTGGCACGTACAAAATTACCATATAAAATGGCTAACGTTTTTCAGCTTACTGAGTGCTATTGGAAATTTAGATGTAAAGGACTAATTAATTCTTTTCGAAAGTAATTCAGAGGTGTTTGAGGATTGGGATGGGAGAGAGGTTAGCTAAAATGATAGAGAAAATCCTGTTAGAAAGTTGTTAGAGATCCTAAAATACAGTTGTTTCTTTCAAAATCATGCTCAGAAATTAATAACTTTGATTAGAAGAAAAACCCCAACTTATAGTGATGGCTAAGTAGCTATAGCAAAGCAGGGAATACAGTTCATTTGCAGGATATTGACACATAAACTAATTGAAGGCTGCAGAAAGCACTGGTTGTTAAGCATTGCAAAAGTAATTGACATAATCAAGAATTCCCAACTCCGGTTATTTTGTTTTAGCTGATGCAATATAATGCTCTGTAGCATGACCAGGTGGCTTGGTTAGTTCCACTGAAACTCTAAAAGAAGCAACTGAATCATTTTTACTGTGCTTAACTCATGTGCATTTGAAGTGTTCCTTGCATGGACAAAATGCTAAGGTTGAAACTAAAAGCATTGATTAGGGGTGCCTAAAATTAGTCCCCTAAATCAGCTATTCAGCATGTTGGTAAAAATAGTGAAGAAAGTATGCAAATGCTAACAAAACCGTGGGCAGTTAGCGCTTCTATGGTATGCTCTAAGGTACTTCTCTGTGAATGCTTATTCTATGCATCCAAGGTTCTTATACGTCTGTACCTACTTAACGTAGCAAGACAAGACTCCCTCCTGCAGTGCCAGAAAGCTTTGCCCCTACTGCATCTGGAGGGTAACAGGTAACAACTGGCCTCCGCCTTCACTTTCTGCAGAATTTAAATGCCATGAAACCTTCATTTGAGTGATTCTGTGTAGATGAGAGATATAGAAAGCTGATCTGAATTTAAAGACATTTTTTTAAAGGAGTGTTCTTAAATGCATGATAATAGATGCATGTACAAGGAAGACAGATGTATAGGAACATACAGTGTAGACAGGTGAGCAAATCTCTGTCTACGCAGGCAGAAGAAGTGCAGATGGTTCTGGGTTTAAATTGCTTGGGCTTTCAGTTTTGGGCTCTGTTGCAGAGCTCTTCTGTGAGCTTAGACAATTTGCTTCAACATAGAACTTTGCTAGCACTGAGGTATCTGCACGCCTAAGTAACTCCAAAATTTCAGGTTCTGTTTCACAGTTCTTCATCTGTACAGAGGGGGAGTAGCACCCCTGTGCCTTGTGGAGTACTGCTAGAGTCTGAGAGCAACTTGGATACACTTACGACTGAGCTGTATAATTAAGCAAAGACAGTACATGTATGAACAGCCCTGGGTGGGTGGAGAAGGGAAAGACACCTGTGACTTCTAAATGCCTTTTTTTTTTTTTTTTTTTTTTTTTTAATTCTGGCTACTTGGAAAAGTAACGAATGGAGACAAAAATAGGAGGCAGGGTTAAAGTAAGAACCCAGAAGTGTATACAAGGAGTGGCTTTTCTTTGCATTACACCTTGCTGGGAATCCCCAGAAGTGCCGTGAAGATAACTACACCTGCACCACTGTGACACAATGTCTTTAACTTTTGCCAAGCTCAAGGTCCTGATTTGTGTTTTCTTTTTGTAGGTATTTTTATGGTCCTTTCTCTCCTGTCAATTGTATATGGTGCCTTACGCTGCAACATCCTGGCTATTAAGATTAAGTATGATGATTATGATGTCAGCGTGAAACCAGCCGCCTACCTTTGCATATTCATGTGGAGAAGCTTTGAGATTGCTACGAGGGTTACAGTGTTGGTCCTTTTCAGTTCAGTCCTTCAAATCTGGACTCTCCCCGTTGTGCTCGTGAACTTCTTTGGTTTTTTCTTCTACCCATGGATTCTCTTCTGGCACAGCAAGTCCCCGTTTCCTGAGAACATAGAGAAGGCATTGAGCAGGGTCGGCACTACCATCGTCTTGTGCCTTCTCACCTTCTTGTATGCTGGCATTAACATGTTCTGCTGGTCGGCAGTGCAGGTGAAGCTCAATGATCCTGACTTAATTAACAAATCCCAAAATTGGTACCGACTAACAGTGTATTACATGCTGCGATTCATCGAGAATGCGTTCCTCCTGCTGATGTGGTACATCTATAAAACTGATATCTACCTATATGTCTGCGCCCCTTTGTTGGTCTTGCAGCTCCTGATAGGTTACTGCATGGCTGTCCTCTTCATGCTGGTGTTCTACCAGTTCTGCCACCCGTGCAAAAAGCTTTTCTCATCCAGCATTTCTGAAGGTTTGCTGTCCTGTTTCAAGTTCCTCTGCTTTGTTTGCAAGCCTCCCAAATCCCCCATGCTGACAGACAAGGCAGAGGTGAAATCACCTGAAAATACTGATGAAGCACGGAGCAGTAGCAAGACAATAGATTCTCAGAAGGGGATCCCTCATCAAAGTGTTTCTTCCAATGCCTAGTACAACTGGAAGCAAGTAGGTGCCTTTGGAAGGTGGCAGGTCACCTGCTGGCAACGTTGTGTATCTCGGACATTGTGTCTTGTGGATGGGATTTCTTTCTTGCAGGTGCAGCACTGCATGACGACTGACAAGCATATCTTTGTGGAAAACTTAGTGTATGAGTATGTGTATCTGTGTGTCTTTGTGTACAGAGAGCAATCACCGGTTGTAGACTTCTCTTTCAGAGTTTTTTGCACATAGGTTTATTATCACATGCTTATTTTGAAATCATTATAGGAGACATCCTTCAAACACTGGCCTGATGCTCATGTTACTCAGGAAATCTGAGGACTGAAGGAAATGCATTTTATTTCAGATGGGATGTCGTTATGGCACGCCACCCTAGCATGGAAACAGAGCATAGGCCTTGACTACATATTGACTGTAGCTATGGTCTGCTTTGATCAAATTGCAGACTTTTTTTACACTCTAATCAGTGTAATAAGATAATACCTCTCTCTGTGGTATAAGAATTGGACTTCTTCAATGCACTGTAGTCTGGGTTGCCAAGAAACAGCCAATTAGCCACTACTGAAATGTGACTGTTACTGAGAACAGACAGAGAGCTATTGGCTTTGCACTGGTTTACCCTTCATATTTGCTGCTTGTTAGTAAGGGTATTAAATTTAACACTTTAATTGTGATGTTCTGGAATAGCTCATTTTCCTGACATTATCATTTATCTAATACTAGGGATAGAAGACACTGAGTCCTTCTTTTTGAGGCTGTGATATGTTATGGTTAGTTTAATATCGGTAGTTCAAAACCCTCTGACTTCTTTACCTCAAATGTACCACAGGCTTGAAAACTGAGAGAGGAAATGGAAGTCGTTGACTTTTTCTTCTATGCATTATATCATCACAAATAAAAGTGTTTCTGTATTCCAAGTTGCTGAGAAAGCTTTAGCAGATGAACACCCAAGAATTTAGTGGAAATACATGAAAACACTGTATTTTCAAAAATTAAGTGAAAGCTTTTTGCACTTTGTTTTCTTAGCACTTTGCATTTCTTTTAAGTATTGCACATTATGGCTGCTAGTGAAAACAAATAATTCATGACTCAAAGCATCTCCTAATGTCCTAAGCTTAGCTTCCATCCTAGTCTCACGGAGGATGTGAAATCACACGGTAGGGATGACATATCAGCATCATTGCGCTAGAAGTGTCTCAAGTTCGGGTCTGAGGTAACTTATAATGAAATACATCACAAGCAATGCTGCAAAGAGCTAAGCTGGTTTTATTTTTTTCTTTACTGCACTGTAAATGAATGTCTTCATACCTCAGTTTTATAATGGAGTGTGGTGGTTTGGGCAACAGAGTTATGGTTTGAATTTTGCTTAATATGTGTCTGTGTGTGGTATATGTATGTAGAGTGCGTTAAATTATTGGTGGGTGGTTGTGGGAATTTTTGGCCTGAGCATGCCATGGGAATGTACCTCACGTGTCTAGGGAAGACACCAAACATCTCCAGTTCTAATTTCTCTCTCGGAGGAGTGTAGAATAGTAAAGTGACTCCTTGAAGACATTACAGTATTTCTCAGTAGTTCTCTATGTAGAAGTGCAGTAGAGTATTTCTCTGTACTTTTCTAGATGTAGAAGAGTATTTCAGAATTATTTTTTTTCGGTAGTGAGTTTGAGCAGGTGAGAATGTAACCCTTGCTTCCACACATGCAGAGTTCAGCACACAGGGCAAAATTTTCAGGTGTTCTTAGCTAAAACTAAGTATCTGACTTTATAGTTGGATACTTATCAATAATCAGGGAATTACGGTTGTTGCCCATCTGCAGATGTACCTAGGTCTGAAATGTTAGTCTTTGAGTGGGGAGGGGAAAAAAAGGTGGATTCTTATGTAGAAGTACTTCATATCTAAAGAGAGAGATAGCAAGTCCTTAACGCAGACTGTGGACACTGTAAGTGATGGGGCAGTTGTGATTTTGTCATTTGGAAACAGTGGAAGCTTTACAAACCTCAGCCACTGAAACGCTTGTGCTACAGTGAAGTCAATAGTAGGAGGGTTACACAGCCAGGAGTCCAGTACGTGTACATAGCAAGTACCATTTAACTTCACATACCAGTGATGAAGGCTACTGTATATGCGTATTTTTAGAGTGTGCCATATTGCTTCCTATTTTTATACCAATCTCCTGAAGTGCATGGGTAGGGAACTGAATATTTAACTCTCTGTTACGAGGGGGGGGGGTCGGGAATAGAAAGATTTGTATGGGTTATATTACTGTCAGATGGTTTTGCCTTAGTTGTGCAGACTAACCAAATACAGCTTAACCCTCCATCCACATGAGGGCCATTGATTTTGCTGTGCCTCATGTCACCACAGCACGGAGTGCAGAATAACTAACAGTATTGCTGCTCTGCGTATGTTTCTGTCTAGCTGTGATGCCATTGCTGGTAGAAAGAAGAAATGTCTCTTAAGGCCAATGTTTTAAAGGACAAGCTTATTTTTCTAAAGCGTGCTACAGTGCTGGGAGAGGCAGTTTTTATCAGGATAATGACAGTCAAGACAGTGTTGTTATCAGTACGTGCAGTGGCTGCACTGAGAGGATATTATTAGCCACAAAGGATGTGTGTGTATGAAGGACTGATCTCTTGCTGCAAGTTTACTGTAGTTTTACTCTCCTCTATGAACGTTAGAGATGTGTGTGTTCAATGGAAGGGTATAGGGCTACTGTTAAAAGCTGTACTTACTAGAGTAGACCGGAGTCCCGCAAAGGACGGCTCAGTAAGGATTATTCACGTGTATAAGAGTATGCAAGAGCTGGTATATAAGTTTTCTTTTGTACTTGTAAAACAACACAAATTAAAATGTTGAAACACTCCCTTAAGTTGTGTTGGTATTAGTTCTCAGTCCTCTGCTTTCAGAAATCCAAGGTAAAAGTTGTACAGCACGCTGTCATCTGTTACCACACAGTAGAAGAAATTTTTTCAAGCAGACCTGACAAAAGAATAATCTGCGATTGCTTAGGGCGTTCCTTACCTCCAACCAGGGGTGCTTCTGATGCTGTTTAGCTGGTTGGGGTCCCAGCAGCAAATTCTGTAGGAGGCCGGCAGTTTGAGACCAGTGTTATATGGAACGAGATCAGTATAGGCTCTTTATTATCAGAATGAGAATATTTAGTTGTTTACATTGGGAATCAGAAAGAAATCATTACCTTATAAAGGATCTTCTGACTTTTTTTCTGCACCCTTGTTTCATGCTTATCTGGATTTACCACGTGCTTGTCTCTGACCTTGGCAATAGCCAGCAAAATCTATTGGGGAAGCATGTGAATACCTAAAAACTTTGTAACGCATTTAAGTGTTTATAAATTTATAGATATATAAAATATAATTGCACTTTACAAATACAGGTGTAAATAGGTCCACTGTAACAAGTTGTAATGTACACATATCACTTAGATGAGGAGCAGTGAGAAAGGAATTTGGCACCAGTATAGGTTAGGGGTGGACCCGCTGGGAAGTAGTTCTGAGGAGAAGGATTTGGGGGTCATGGTAGATAGTAAATTGTCCATGAGCCAGCAATGTGCCCTTGTCGCCAAAAAGGCCAATGGAATCCTGGGCTGCATAGGGAAGAGTGTGGCCAGTAGGTCGAGGGAGGTCATTCTCCCCCTCTACTCAGCACTGGTGAGGCCACAACTGGAATACTGTGTCCAGTTTTGGGCTCCCCAGTTCAAGAGGGACAGGGAACTGCTGGAGCCAGTCCAGCGAAGGGCAACCAAGATGACTGAGGGATTGGAGCATCTCCCTTACAAGGAAAGGCTGAGAGAGCTGGGACTCTTTAGCCTGGAGAAGAGAAGGCTGAGGGGAGACCTTATTACTACTTACAAATATTTAAAGGGTGGGTTGAAGGAGGATGGGGCCAGACTCTTCTCAGTGGTTCCCAGTGACAGGACGGGGGGCAATGGGCACAAGCTGGAACACAGGAAGTTCCGTTCCAACACACGGAAAAACTTCTTTACAGTTAGGGTGGCAGAGCACTGGCACAGGCTGCCCAGGGAGGGTGTGGAGTCCCCTTCTCTGGAGATTTTCAAAGCCCGCCTGGATGCAGTCCTGAGTAATGTGCTCTGGGCAATCCTGCTTTAGCAGGGGAGTTGGACTAGATGATCTCTAGAGGTCCCTTCCAACTCTGAAAATTTTGTGATTCTGAAGTCCTGGCGGTGATGGACACCACTATCTGCTAGCAAGAGCTGCGCTTCCTAAAACATAGAAAGTAATTAATGCTTTCTAACAGACTTTGTTTGTTTGTTTGTTTGTTTCAAAGGATGTTTTTTAAATAAGTATCCAGCATATTTTTTTTTAATCAAATGTAGATTAAAACCTCAATGCAAAATTTCAGATTGAGGCACAATGTTGATAACTTTTGTTTTCAACATGGTTTCTTAAAGAAAAGCCTATGTGACCGCACTGTTTCTCTGGCAGCCCTGTTCTCCCCAATACACATCAAACTCATTGGACACACTGAAACTAAATTTTTCTGAGGGCAGCTACCTGAGGAAATAAAACATGATTTTACAAGCTTTGTGAAGACTATCAGCTTCCAAGAGGAAAAGATAGGAATTGATAAAATGATCCTACTGGTAAGAAACGTTTCGGCATGAGCTATCTACTTTGATCTTCTCACCGGCCACTTAGCAAGCCACGTAATCGGCACGCTTCAGGTGTTACAAACCTGTGTATCACTCAGCGATCCACATACCTGCTACCTCTTACGCTACGCTTACAAATACTTAAAGGGAGGATGCCAGGGGGATGGGAGCAGTCTTTTTTCAGTGGCGCCCAGTGATAGGACGAGGGGTAATGGGCATAAACTTGAACATAGGAAGTTCCATCTTAACACGAGAAGGAACTTCTTTACTTTGAGGGTAGTGGAGCACTGGAACAGGCTGCCCAGAGAGGTGGTGGAGTCTCCCACTCTGGAGACATTCAAAACCCACCTGGATGCTGTCC